TGATTTCCTCCACGCCGACGCGGGGAACCCGGGGCGCTTTAACGCCCTTGTCAGGCTTAGCTAGTTTTCTGCTGGTAGCGTTAGGAATATTAGAGCAGGGTGTATAGCAAACAGCGTCTGGCACGAAGCACAATTTGTTCTCCCCGAGAACAGTTTATTCTAAGAAGATTTCCTCGCGGGATCTCAGGGGGACTATTGCTCCCTGCAGGGAAATCTGCTTGGGTGCTGGTTTTTTCTTCTTGAAAATAAAAGTCTTAACAGACGCCTTTGGGGAAGTGAGATGTAAGGGCCACTACTAGCGTGCGAGCTGGCACGGGCAGAGATGCCTCAGCCAGCAGGGGAAAGCAGCGCGGACCCAAAGGATTTGATGCAACAAAGATTTTCAATTTTGCAGAGCATGTTTTCTTTCAAAACAATCCGTAAGAGGAGATATCTCCTCAGATAGCGCCCCCCAGGCACTCTGACAGTAACAAGGGCCGCGTCTCAATCTCCGAAAGAAGCATCCGGGCAAACGGTCGCGCTGGACGTCACGGAGGCAACGCTCAGCCCCAGCCTGCGCCAGCCCCGCTCGAGCGCGACAAACCTTTTTGATTTTCTTGATGTCGCTGTCGTCGTCGCTGGGCGCGCTGGTCTGGCCGGACTGGATGCGCTCGTTGTCCTTGAGCAGGGAAGCGATCTGCGGACACAGAGCGCGTGAGCAGCAGCCTCGGCCCCCCGGCCGACCCGCACGCACCGCGCACACACCGCGCACGCACCGCGCTCCCCGTCACAGTCGAGCGATTGGGTAAAATCCTTCTGTTCCTGCATGGTACTGAACAATGGTGCTTGCTCCGTATTAAATTACGCATATAACCATACCTTGTGCTGATTCTGCCTTTAACGAGACATTGCTAGATGAACCAAATAAAAAAAAAAAGTATCGGAAACATCAGTTAAGCAATGACTTTTCTGTACCCCCCCGCTCAGCACACTCACTGAACACCCCAACAGAAACAGGCAATTCATAGGTACAGCCGGAAATCCTGCCAGGCACCGAACGCAAGCCACAGCGCTGTTTGCTCAGCGTCTGCACGTGTGAGTTGACCGATTGAAAAATGAGTTGGAAAGAAAATAGCAGGAAAATCTGAAGTCATTTATACCCTACAACTTGCAGACAGGGACAAACTTGAATTTAGTCCCAGCTTCCCAGCACAACTTTGATTGCATCCTTTCAGTTCAAAGCCGCACTTGCGCTTTTCCCACGCTCCTTTGTCCACCTCCTTGTCCCCCCACCGCTTTAACCGTTTCGAAGGCTACAGGAAAGGGGGAGAACGGGAAAAAAAGAAAATGCACCATTCGAAAAATAAAACCCAGGAAAACTGTGAACTTTGGTTTGATAGAAAGTAATAAAAACAACTCTCAAAGAGTATTTTCCTGGGGGGGAAAAGGTCCAGTTTTGGAGAGAAGGGAAGAAAAAAGGAAGGTTTCAATTAAGACATTTTTCAGTCAGGGAACCCGCTTTTCAGTTAAGCTGGGAATTGAGAGCAATAGTAATTGTAATACAAGCAAAGTGTGTGCTGACTTCTTTGGTATCTGAACTGCTGGAATAACATGGAATATCAACCGAGGACAAGAGATGGCTGCCTGGAGAAGGCGCACAGAGGTAGAAACTGCTCCTATTACATGGTCCCAGCACCAAAACAGGAAACTATTTCCAGAAAATTCTGAACATTTTATATGAACTATATCTCTTCTGAAATGTAATTAAAAAACAAACATACAAGCATACTTTTTTTTTTCCTGAAATAACAAGCTAAAAAACGCTCCGGGTCAGTCTGATCACCGCGGTTCAACAACGCTCGGCGACCACCTTTCCCTGCCAAGTTCTTCAGAAGGGACCTGAATCTCCTAACGCTCAAAACCAAGCGACTTCCACGGAAAACGGACCCGTTGCCTTTCGGGGGCCGCCGCAGTGGCGCGGCCGCGGGGTCCCCGGCTCTGCCAGCCGCCCCGCCGGGCCAGCAAATTCCTAATTAATTAACGATTAGGGTTCATCAAACACAGCTCATTAAAAACTAAATGAAATTATTTCAGATTCCCTATCAATTAATGGCTGACAATGACTCTTCTCAGGGCTGGGAGCGAGGCTTCAACTGTTTGGCTGATAAACAGGCAGCCTGGGAAAAGGACTGGGTTTTGTATTTTTGCTTCTTTTTTTGTTTGTTTGGTTTTTTTAATCGAGTAATCAAAATTTGCACTTTAAAGGTGAAGCCGATTATTTGATCTCTACTTCAAAGAACGAGGAGGAAAAAAAAAAAAACCCACAACAGCAGCAGCAGCGACACAAGGTGAAGTCAAATGTGTTTGAGCACAGAAAAATGCTAATTGACCGCAACTCGTTGCCAGTCCCTAGATTATTGGTTGCCTGGCATTTCCAATCCGTAACCCCTCAGCTAGCGTCAGGGTTCGCACACATGTCCCGCTTTGCCTTGACTGGAAATGTCAATAGGCGGCACTGATGCCTTAATCCCGCCGGAGAAGCATGATTGAAAATTTGACCCAGGGTGGATTAAGAGCAGAAAAGGGATGTAATTAGGGGCGCTCACAGCATGCTCCGGAGCGGAAGAGGGAAACAACTGCAGTTTCGGCTAACAGCCCGGGCGAGCCGCCCAGCCCGGCTCTCGCCGCCAGCGCGCCCCGGAGAAGTCGTGGGGTGACGCCGTCGGGCCGGGCAGCGCCGAGCCCGCCCGAGAAGCTTCCTTGGCCCTGGGGCGACCCTCAAGGGCCAGCCGGACTCG